TTTTTTTTTTTTTTTTTTGAAATTAAATTCTATTGAATACCAGCCAGGTGGAAGATTAATATTTTGTTTTCAGAGCGAATCAAATTTGGTCAGTGATCAAATACGTAACTGGAACAATAATATGATTCATCCATTGGATTTGCTGATGTCAGCTCCGAATGAGTTGAGAAATAAGGGGGTTGATAAAGCATGCAGAGATTATGACACTAAGTTTGTTAAAGCAGAGGCTGAGGCAAAAAAGCACGCCAAAGTAAGTCACTGAGTTTTGAACGGTACCTGTCTGGTCCAATACTAGCCATTCATTTTGATAGTGTCTTTTTACTATTTAACGTTTACGTATGATTTTAAGGCAGCTTTTTTTTTGAAGTCATGGGCTGTTGAAGATGATTTTTATGGGATTCTACAAACCGTTGGTAGTACTGTTACCAGGCAAATAGTATTGTTTTGTACTAGTTTCAATATTTCTATCTTGTTGCAGCAGTCCGGTTATTCACGAGGACAGTTCAGTCATGGTGAATTAGCAGAAGAGCTGACAAATGAACGAGTTGCTGTAGAATACGAGCTCTGTAAAGTTTGTATTTGTGTAATTCTGAACAAGTGACCTATTTAACAAATCCTTGCTTTACTAATAGCTGAACTAATACTAGGGTACATTTTAGTTCTTACTGGGTGTTGGTGGAGTGGAAGACAAGAAGAGTTCACAGTTAGTGCGTCACTTCCTAGAACTTTTTCGCGGCCAGCAACAGTAAGTTTGAAACAGTAATCTTATTTGCATTTGTTTGATGTTCGCTTCTTCTTCAAATTTAACTTCTTTCATTTATTTGTAGGTCGTTTGAAGTTACATTGCTATAAAAAACATGTGATATATTTCTCATCGGTTTGGTAGTCTTACAGATGCTGTATTGAACGTTTAAAAATGACTGAACAATTTCGAAGTGATTTTGAAACTCTCGAAGAACGTATGGCTGTTCGGAGTGCCAACTCTTGCCAACAGAGAAATGCTCTTTTTGACTTGAAGACTCGTTTGGAAAGCGATTATGCTGGTCTTCGTCCTACAATGAGTCAATTTCCTGCATTATTGAAAGTGCATAGAAGAGCAGTAAGGTTTTCAAAACAATGAAACTCTCTCAACTTTAGATAGACGTGGTCGGACTGAGTCCTACAATCGAGGTAGCAGAATTTCAGTAGCAGACACGTATGGCGGCACAAGCACCTCTAGCCTTGGTTTAGGGTCTTTTCCTGTTGCTGATAATGAATCTTCACAAGATCCTGTGTCAGGTTTTCATAACTCAAGCGAATCTTCCTCGCTTACCGGCTTTTTATATAAAAAAAGTAACAAGAAACTGCATAAACAGTGGCAGAAAAGAAGATGTAAAGTTCAGGATGGCTGTTTCTGGCTTTCACATTCTGATGTAAGGTTTCGTCTGTTCGTCTTTTTTCTCATCATTTTCGAATTCAAGAATATTTTCGTGAGTTGGTTGCCATAGCTAAGTTTTTAGGAGTCCCTTGCGCCTGCTAAACTTAGTTTGTTAGTTTCTGATTGCAAACCATCTTCTGAAGGGCCGCGTATGTTCGATCTTTATTGCCGGGATAGAACTTATCATCTGCAAGCAGAGAGTGAGGCTGAAGCCAAAAGGTGCTCTTCTAAATTTTATTTTTCGGTTATATATTGCTGATTTTTGACAGGCTTATGATTGGAGAGTTTTTTAGTGACTTGATTTTTTTTGTTCTCAGGTGGGTAATTGCTCTGAAACAAGAAAT